AGTCTGGCTCAGAATGAGCCAGCTCCAGAGAATGTAGGGAGAGTTTGTGGCGGGTGTGGTATTATGGATATATGTATCTCGATTTTTATTTCAAGTTATTGCTCCCACAGAGATACTAACTCAAAGCAGAGACATATATTCAGTGCACAAGTGCGAGCAGGATTTATTTAAAGGTGAGAGAGTGAATATATTCATGTTTGGGCACTCCCACACGGAGAGAGAACCATCTTGAGTGGGTCACAGAGTTGCTTCTGAGGATTGAGCACAGGAGGAACCCAGAGAAGGACTGAAAATCACGGCCCAGAAGCCAAAAAACAAAAAAAGAGTCTCTCCCCTGTCTATCAGCTAGGGAGCGGTATTCTAATTGAACATAGAAACAAGCTGGAGCTTGGGTGGAATTTAGTGTGCACGAAGCTTTCTGGGAGTTTCCTGGCACCTCCACAAGGAGCTTAACTTTCACCTGGCCATAATGGCATCTCCTGCTTCCTAGTCTCTGATGAAACAGGTGCATCATGGGAAAGTCAGGTACATCATGGGAAAGTGGGCAACTGAATAGACAGGTAAGAGGTGGAGTTACAGTGCAGAGCTTGCAGAAATTGTGACTCCAGCTTATTTATTTCTATTTAATCTTCCTGGGTAGTTCCCCCATATGTTGCATGTGGCGGAGTCCTGGGGAGAAGAGAACCGTGGAAAGATTACTTGAAACAATTGCCTCTGAGAAGAGTACAGTGCAGAACCTCTTCCAACTCCCCTCATAGGTTTTGCTGATTTTCCTTTGTTCTCCACAGAGAAAGCGCTGACATCAGAGTTGCATGGAGGTCAGACTGAAAGTGGACCACTCTCAGGGAGACAGAGGTAGGATTGACCCCTAGAGACCAATGCTGGTTCAATCTGCCCTATCAGTGTTAGGGGATGAGGCAAGGAAAAATTAAGGAAAGGGAAGACAATGGGAAAGGAAGGAGGGATACACTGTCAGGCTGCTGCCTTCTTCCTTCTTGAAACTAAAACCAGTCTAGGTGGGGGACACAATGTATTAATTAAAGAAAGGATTAGTGACCTGTCCATCAAGGACAGTAAATTGAGCTCTGCCTCTTCCTATTATTGGGCATTCTAGGATGGAATGTGGAGCTGTGTGCTGACTTACATATTTATACATTCCTTCACCAGAAATTTGAGTATTTTTCTTGTGGGAGGCAGAGGCCCAAAGATGAGAGATATGGCCCCTTTATATATTCTCAGGGAATTTACTATTCAGTGGAAAGAGAAGCAAACAGGCAGAAATAGTGCAATGCGATCCTGGCTCTAACAGGCTATTGGAAAATTAAAAGGGGATTTCTGAATCAGCCTAGGATACTGCAAGAAATATTTTACCCAGAAAGTGACACCATCGTGGACTAAAGGTGTCTGGCATCCCTAGCTGGATTTATTTTCTGTTACTAATCTGGTGTGAGAGATGAATTCAAACCAGAGACATAGAAGAAGTGCAGGAATGGGCACAGGATTTATTTAAAGATATTAAAGAGAGAGTACACACCCAGATAGAAGTGCAGGCAGCCTCTCTTCATGGATACTAGAAGGGTAACTGCTGGTGGTGCTACTGCTTACTGCTGTACCTGCTATCCTGAGGTGTATAGGGTAGATGGTGGTACAGAGTTTGGACAGGGTCAGTGTGTGTGGCAGTCTCTGGAAAGATTTCCTGGCACCTCTGTGTGGAGCTCAGCATACATGTTGTCATCGTGGTGTCTTCAGCTTGATGGGGGAGTGGGGCTCAGGTGCATCATGGGGAAGTGGGTGTGCCAAGCCTGCTGCCGTGATGAATAGGCAAGGAACTGGGTAGAGTTTAGTGGTGCAGGGCTGTGGCAAGAAGATTGCTATTTTGTTCACTAACTGGCTCCCTGTTAGCCCACATCAACATGAGTGTTGCCAGAAGCTGATGGTGGGGTAAAATGAGAAGTTGTATCTGGTATTTGAAAGCCAAAAAAAAGAGAAGAAGAAGGGAAGATGGAGAAGAAGAGGAAGAAGAGGAAGAAAAAGAACAGGCTGATTTAAGCAGAAACTTGCTGGAACCTAAAACTATTGGACAGTTTTTAGAATTTCCAAGAAGGTTTGCAAAGTGACTTTTAGAAGGTGGGAGCAGGAGTTAGTTTAGGCAGAGTTCAAGATCACAGGGGGATGGTTTCAGAAGGTCAGTCTGATGCAGACACTATGATCCTGCTGCTGAACAACTGTTAGCTATAACTGCCGCTCTGGCCCTGTGGCACCCAATGTGGTCTCCGCCCACTACCAGTATGGATCCCCACCCTTCTTGCTTCTGGTATTAATAGCTCCTTACTGAAAGTTGGAGGTAGGCACACAAGACTGACTGGGCTTAGGTCACATGCTGCCTTCCCAGCTGCAAAGGAGGTGGGGAAGCAAGCATGTAGGTCTTATGAAGTGGGTGGCAATAAGGTGAATTGAAGATTCATGCCTAGATTCCAAAGGAGAGCAAGCCCCCTAAACAGGAAAGGGTTTCAAATCCCTCTTACACAAACGAGGGAACAAAGGTGAGGGCAAGAGAAGAGAGATAGTGCGTGGAGTTGCATGTGACAACTGAAGGCCAGATGGCAAGCAGTGCTGGGAGGCCTGTCAACACAGAGAAGGGGGGGAAGAGGGACAGCTGGGTCTTGATGGCACTGTGTCTCCAAATTTTTACTTTCTGGGTACAGGAGTGTGACAAATACAACTGATTTCCCTTTCAGTGTCATCTATCTGTCTTCCTTACCGATGGAATTCTAATTTCAACTTGGATAGTAATACATTCAGCTAAAATCACTTAAGTTCCCCAGAATTCTTTGTAGCCACCGGTTGTAAGAGTACATAGTTGGTGTAAATGAGATGTAAACAGAATTCTTGTCTCTTGCTTCTGGGCATGTTGCAGATGTTGGGCCTATGAGGCAACAGGCAGGGGATGAGGCCTACATACTAAACATAGCAAAGCCTGAGTCCTGTTTCTTCTTCCATTTGAGAATTTCCTACTCTCAGATTTCTTTTATTTAATGGGGACAAGTTACTATTTATTTCATATGTTATTTCTTATTTATTTGAAATAACTCTTGAGACAAGATAGGATTTAGCAATAAGGAGTTAGAGTTGTCAAATGAATCTACATTGTATAGCTTGTAGAATACCATTTAAAAGTAAAATTGAGCATTCATTGCACAGTGTATTTGGATTTTTTGAGGGCATATTTTAATTTATAGTTTGTGGGTTTCTCCTTTTTTTGGATTAACCTTGTAATATAGACAAAAAACTAAGCTTTTGATGCAGAATACATGAGAAGTTATATACTAGTCCGGTCTCTTGGATATAGGAACGGTATTTGTCTCCCCAGTTTCTTCAGACGCCTAAATATTTAAGCCACTAGTATTGGATTTTCTGTTATTTGTTGCTGAATTGATCCTCACTGATTGCTGGGAAGGAGACTGGTTAGCTAGGAAATGAATGCAGTTACTTGTAGTGATTTGAATAGGGGCGGGGGTAAGGTTTGAGAAAAGGGTGAATTGAGGATGCAAACGTTGAGTCTGTGTGTTTAACCAAGTCTCATTGGGGATGGACTCCACTTTGCGTGTCACAGACAACCAGCCTACCGTTAAGGATTCAGGAAACAACACAGGAGCACCTAGGAAGTGTGGGGTGGAGATGTGCAGAGCCCCAAACACTAGCCTCTCAGTATTCTTTTCTATTGTAAAAACATTGTGTCAATTTACACAATTCAGAAAGTCAGTTAAACAAAAAACTATGTATTAAGACAATTGACGGCCCCCCAATCCCATCACCCAGAGATAATCAGTGCTAACGTTAATGGTCACAACAGGGTCTGTTCACTTGGGGTGTCACCAAAAAATCAGCCTCTAGAGGGCGCTGCTCCGTGGAAAGCTTTATTTACTTACGCCAAGTAAAGCAGACAGTAGAAAAGTATAGTTCCCCAAAGAAACGGCCTCCCTAAGAAGCCATTTGCTTTTGCAGCAACTCTGACTCAAGACTGGTTTCTTGCAGCCTTGCACAATGCTGCAAAATAAGCTTCCCAGGGACACCCTGAAAAACAAACTGATGCGTAAACTGTTGCAGATGCTCTGCCCTGGTTTCTGGGCCCCCTCTTCCCTCAATTCTTGTTCTTGGTGACAGTGACATTTTGATGCATTTGTTTCTAGCATTTATTCTTTCTCCCCCTTTCCTCAATTGAATGGGGATGTAAATGAATTGTTTGACAACAATGTGATCCCTACATAAACTGTTTTCTGATCTGTCCACTTTTTGCATTTGACAATCCATTGGCAAGGACTTGCCATATCATGAACATCATTGGAATGGCTACACGCATACTCTTCCCTTATTGAATTTATCTAACAAGCTTTATTCTAGAACCTAAATTTAAAAAAAATCTATTCCCCACACTTTTGCATGTGATGGTGGTGATTCCGGGTTGGAAGGACGGCAGCATACCTTCATCCGTAGTTTTAGAGTGATGGTGTCCTGTTCAGATAGGCTGAAAACTTCTGCCAGCATGTACATTGTTTATTTCTATTGTTCTAATCTGTTTTCACTGGGGGGAAAAAAAAAAGACCCTTAATATGTGTCAGTTTGTCTTTCAAGATGCAGGAAGATTTCCTGATGAAAATGGTGTGCTTGTAGCAGGAACACGTACTAGCTAGCTATTTTCAGGGTCCTTCAGCCATTCCCTAGGCACGCCTTTTAGGTGGCAGGTTTGGAAATCACAAGAGGTGAGATTTTCTAAGGAAAGCGTTTATTAAAAGACGGAAAACAGAAGCACCCGCTTCCGCAGCGAGCAGGGTTCGAACCTGCGCGGGGAGACCCCATTGGATTTCAAGTCCAACGCCTTAACCACTCGGCCATCGCTGCCACGGAGAAAGCAGCAAGGCGGAGACACTGTAGTGCTGCAGCCACTGCGCTCGCGCCAGACCCGCAAATAGGCGGAGCCTGCAAATACCCGGAGCTTCACTCTGAGATAGCCCGGCCTGAGGGACCTGGTTGCAGGGGTTACATTGTGGACACGAAAAATAATAGACATACTCTTAAGCAGGAGTACAGACAGGTCTGAGAAACCCTGGTCTTTGCTGCGCTACGAAAATCGCAACCTCGCCAGGTTTCTAGCGCTGACGTGGTTTTTTTTTTTTTTTTTGCCCTCCCGCTTCTGCATTCGGTGTGGGAGAGAGTTGTGGAACAATAATCCGTCCTGCTCAGTGTTGCGGGCCCGCGCGCCCGAAAGTTCTCGCATTTTTGCGGCGTTTCCCGCGGATTCTTCAGAATTCTCCTCTCTGGACAGGGCGGGCGGGAAGCTGAGGAGCCAGCTGCAGTGGGCTTGGCTCTCACCGAGCTGTTTCATTTTCCTCTCCCAGAAATCCCTTCATTGTCGAGCTCGATTGGGAGAGAAGGGGGGCTCCCTCAGGAGATGGGGTAGAGACCCAGGTTCTGCGCTTTAGGTCTGCAGCCATTACCTTTAAACGTCATTAGGTCCCCCACTTGTGAAGTGTGGCAGTGCCCTGGGTGCTTCACTTGCGTTATTTCGTTAGAGCTCTGAGAGCCGGGCAGAGAACCGAGGCCTGGGGGTGGCGCTCGCGGTCGGCGCGGCGGGTCCAGAGCGCATGCGCACCTCGTGGCCGCGGCGGGTGGCGCCGCCTGGATGCGGCGGACGCGGAAGCTGAGGGACGGGAGCGGAGGCCCTGTAGTGGGTTGTGCTCCTGAAAGGGTTCCTGGAAAGTCACAGAACTTCCTAACAAGGCAAGGAGGCACAGCGACTTCTGGAAACTCTGGTGTTAAGTGACCTCACTTGATAAGTGTGTGCGTTTTCCTGAGACGCTAGCATTGCCTTTACCTAAAGGATGGTGTTAACTTTATGTTTCTGTGTTGGAGCAAACTGTTGAAATCTTTACTTAATGTCTGCTAAACTGATCTTCTGTATATAAAGAGAATCAAAAATGAATCTTGATGTGAATCTTTACTTAATGTATGCTAAACTGATCTTCTGTATATAAAGAGAATCAAAAATGAATCTTGATGTGAATGGAAGGGGAGAGGGAGTGGGAAAAGGGAGGGATGCGGGTGGGAGGGACGTTATGGGGGGGAAGCCATTGTAATCCATAAGCTGTACTTTGGAAATTTATATTCATTAAATAAAAGTTAAAAAAAAAAAGGATGGTGTTAAGAGTGTGAACCCATTTAATTGTGGAAGGAGGCAGAGTACTTGAGAATTGTGAGAATAAGTTTTCTCTAATTCCAGGTGGTTGTTTGAGGGATTTTATCTCTCTCTTTTTTTTTTTAAATTTGGCAGAGCTGTAAATCTGGTCCCATTTTTCTCTATGAATAATTCATGGGAACAAAGTTATTGCCAGTGTCCCCAGGCATAACTCTCATGATATACATGCAGTTCACTTGGACCTTTCCCAGTATACCCTATCCAAGAAGAAATGCCTTTTTTCCTTTTTCTTGTTCTTAGATTCTACATGAGCTCTGAGATAGTCTAGAATTTAATCTTACCATTTTATTAGTTGTATCTTGATCTTGAGGTATTTCTTTTTCTTTCCTCTGTGCAGTTGGAAGATGATAATATTTACTGAGAGCTGCTTCTCTCTCTTAACCTCCCCTTACCCCTTGTAAGAATTCTCTTCACTTGCTTAAAACCTTGACAGTAATGGAAATTGATTATGGTTAAAATTGTTCAATCACAATTTTTACTTTTTTTTTTTTTTTGAGAGGAAAAGAAGACTGCAAAGGAAAAGAACCTATTGTGAAGTTAATGTGTATTTGGCGGGAACAACTGTGATTGAATGTTTGTAAGATTTCCAATACTTATCTTTTTATTTTTATTTATTTGACATGTAGAGTTACAGACAGTGAGAGAGAGAGACAGAGAAAGGTCTTCCTTCCATTGGTTCACTCCCCAAATGGCTACCACGGCTGGCACTGAGCCAATCTGAAGCCAGGAGCCAGGTGCTTCCTCCTGGTCTGCCATGCGGGTACAGGGCCCAAGGACTTGGGCCATCCTCCACTGCCCTCCTGGGCCACAGCAGAGAGCTGGCCTGGAAGAGGAGCAGCCGGGACTAGAACCCGGCACCCATATGGGATGCTGGTGCTGCAGGCGGAGGATTAACCAAGTGAGCCACGGTGCTGGCCCCCCAAATACTTTTATTTAACATTTAATTTTCAGCATATTGTGAGTTAATGTAACCTTTCCTTAAAAATGAGATAATCTTTTCTTCTGATTGATCATGTTAAATTGAAACATGAGATCAAAATTATTGTAGATTTTTTTTACCCAAAGTGTGTCTTTCCAAATAAGTTTTAGATCTCACCTTAGATCTTTATCATCGTCATTTAATGCAGTGAGTGGAAAATTAGGGAAAAAGAAGTAATGTACATCTGTTCCAACATAGCTTTAAGTATAATATGTTCATGACACTAACATCGTAAAACATTGGTTTGCAACTGTGCAACTTTTAGTTTGTAAGACCCCTGGTGTTCTGTTGGTCTACTTCTCCCTGCCTCTCCCCATTTTGTTCTTTTGTGTGTGGTCCATATTGGACCAATTTGGGTGTGGAAGGCAAATATCTTGTGGCTTCCTCAGAAAACCTTTCTTTGTGCCACTTTCAGAAGTAGAATACTGGGTTAGGGCATGCAGTTGGGAGCAGAGTAGCATTTCTTTGTTCCTTTATCACAAGTCAGTAATTTATTTTGAATCATTTTGATGGGTCTTTTTGGGAGGCATTTTGTAAAATCACAAAAGTGTGAATCTGGAAGAAAACACTCAAGCTAGTTGAATCGCTTCATTTACAGACAGGAAACTGTGGCCCATTAGTGGCTTGCCCTGGGTCACATAGCTAATTAGTGGCAGATTCTGGACTATAACTTGTGTTAATAACCTAATATTTTTATTAAAATTTGTTGCCCTCGTGTATTCTTTGTTAGTGTCTGGTAGAGTGGTATGCAAATCAAGAAGCGTGTATGTGGCAGTAGATAAAGCCAATAGTAGGAGAGGGTTGTAAGTTGACTGTAAAAGGCACATGAAGGACACTGATTATATTGTGTCTGATATTTTTTGTTCTTTTTTATTCAGCACCCATCCTCCCAACTGATAATGACACATCAATTGTGTTTAAGGAGGACCACTCCACCTCTATTGATTGAAATCTTACTTTGGCTGTTAATCAAGCTATCTCACTCTCCTTGGACCAAGGAACAGGAATGTGACTAGTATTAGTTTTCTGTTACTGCATAAGAAATTACCATGTTCAGTGGCTTTAAACAACACAAACCTATTATCTCACAGTTTCTGTTGGTTAGCAGTGTGATCCTGGGTTGACTGAGTCCTTTGCTTAGGAGTCTCATGAGGATCTGGGACTGTGATCTCATTTGAAGGTCATGATGCTCTTCTGAGAGTACTAGTTGTTGGCAGAATTCAGCTCCAGTAGTTGTAGGACTTGTTGATTCTCAGGGGTTGGGGGCTGGTAGTGGTGGGGTGGATACAGAGGGGTGGGCATTCCCAGGTTCTAGATGCTGCTTACTGTTCTTGCCAGGTGGTGCTTCCGCAACTTAGTACTTTGGTCTCTTTGATTTGCTACAATGGAGTTTTATATTGTAAAATGCAATCACAGAAGTGATTATAACTTCATGAGGGAGATTATATAGGGTGTGTAACAGCAGAGGTGGGAATCTTGGGGCCATCTTAGAATTTGCCTACTCTATCCTTCAAGCCAGGACAATCAGATTCAAAATCTCTGTTCTTTCCTGTATACAACTGTATTATTTATAGAAATTTCACACAAAACACATATGTAGTAACCAAAGGGGGGGTGACCAGAGTTTGGCCATTTTGACTTAACTGCTTGTTTGTGTTTTTGTACTTCACTTGAAAGGACTTGAATTTTAGAGCCTTAGCCACCAGTCAGGATTCTTGATTTTAATTTTACATCAGTTGGAGAATAGCCCAAGTGGCCTTGCAGCCACTGCAGGGTTAATGCAGCCAGGGCCCCCCTCCTCCCCATAACAGCCCACACTCTCAGAATTCCATTTTAGATGTATTATGTTTGAAATATATTTGACACATTCAAATGAATTTGTCATAATTTATGTAGGTACCCTTTTGGACTAAATCAAACCTTATGAACTAGAAATAGAGCAGCAATTTTTTCTTGAAGAAAATTTATGTTGGTCATTTCATTTTTTTTTTAAATCTCAGCTTTTCCACAACTGGAGTTTAAATGTTATTTTAAAAAAATTTAAACATTAAATGCTGTAATATGTACACAACGGTTTGAGAGCCTACATCCTAGATAGATAAGACAAAGTAGAGAGCATCCCATGGTGAAGAGGGAAGCCGGCATGTCCAGAACAGTGGTGGATAGAGTCAATGTAGAGGACCACTTTTTGAGGATGCCTTGAAAATGATCCAGAACTTGGGTTAGAGGGTACTGAACATAGCCACAGTACCTAGTTTAAACTGTCATTTGTGTTGTCGTTTCTTTATCTTGCCTCTGTCTGTAAGTTCTGGCTAAAATACAATGCTGTGGAAAATTAAAGAAAGGACTTGTGTTCTGCCTGGGATGGAGTAGTGCATACCCTGGAGCATAGGAGCAAAGGCAGCAGTGTAGCAGCAGAACAAGGCATCCAAAATAGAAAAACACCGTGGGCCTCTTGTGAGCATCAGTGAGAGAGCCCTGGGCATCATTCACAAATAGCCAAGAAATACTTTAGAGAGCTAATTTCTATCATTTAAGAAAGTGGAAGCTTATGCTTTTGATATTTATGTATTTCAAAGGATATATGGTTTTATGTTATAAAACAAATGTTGAGTCTCAGATGTTTGAGTTATCCATCCCATGACTTCCAGTGGATGCCTAAAACTGGATAATACTAAATCCCACATAGACTAAGTTTCCTTTCCTTTGTATATACTACTAACTAATAGACAGGTAGTATATACAAAGTGGATACACTGAAATTCATCTCCTAAGCAGGATGGCATGGGATTTTATCATACTTCTTAGAACAACATGTAATTTAAAACTTGATTATTTTTAAAATTTTCCATTTAATACTTTTGGATTGTGGTTGACTTTTGTATAACCGAGAGCAAAACTTCAGACAAGGGGGAGATACTGTGCATAGTTAAGTCTTTAATAAATGATAACAATTTTTATTTTTATTTATTTTTAAAGATTTTATTTATTTATTTGACAGGTAGAGTTACAGACAAAGAGAGAGAGAGGTCTTCCTTCCATTGGTTCACTCCCCAAATGGCCGCAATGGCCAGAGCTGCACCAACCCAAAGCCAGGAGCCAGGTGCTTCTTCCCGGTCTCCCATGCGGGTGCAGGGGCCCAAGGACTTGGGCCATCTTCTACTGCCTTCCCAGGCCACAGCAGAGAGCTGGACTGGAAGAGGAGCAACCGGGACTAGGACCGGCGCCCATATGGGATGCCGACGCCGCAGGTGGAGGATTAACCTAGTGTGCCAAGGCGCCTGCCCCAGTGATAACCATTTTTAATCGCATTATCTGTGTAGCAAATGGTACCTAGTTCTTACTGCATTTTAGGCTGGCTCCAACTAAAGTTTAGCATTCATTGTGTACAAGAATAGAATGGAACAAGCAACAATAAGGCTAGGAGAACTGACACCTCCTTCCCAAGAGATCTGGGAAACACAGCAAACTTGCATTTAATTAGGACCAGTTATAATGAGCCTACTGCTCTCCTGTCATCCTGGCATCTCCCTTCATTTCTCTCCTAATATCATTTGTTGTTTTCTGGATCACATTTTCCTTTTTCATTGTTTACTTTCTTAGTTAAGGGGACATGAGAGGTAAAAAAGGGCACACGAGAGGGGAAAGTTGTTTTTAAACTTTGTATGTGATGTAAAAGTCTGAAAATGTCTTTATTCTTGCATTTGTTTGATAGTGTGAGTGAAAAACTGAAATTTTAATCAGAGTTAATCAGA